TTTGTCTGATCTGGTCAGTTGACCTTCAATTAGGGCATATTTGCAGATGACCCAAAAAGGAGAAGTATTCTGCCCAAGTTAGACAGCCAGAAGGTCTCCAAATTGGAATGGGAATCCAATATCCTAATTCCCCACTCAGCACTATTTCCCTCCTGATGACTGCTCTAAGAAGCCAAAGGCTTAAAAAAGAAAGGGAGGTTCAGCGCATTACATCATTTAATATGAGGAAACAGGGGCCTCCCCACTAATGAAGTTCTCAGGGCAGGCTTTGCTGAGGTCGGTCACAAAGCCTGGTACTCTTCTCTGAGAAGGCATCTAATGCCTTGGAATGCATTAGGCCAGCAGTCTTCAGAATGCCTCTGACACTTGCCTCCTAGTCCTTCGTAGTAATCCTGTTCCTATTAAACTCTACAAATCCTGAATTTTCCATTTTGCCAGATTGACCATCGAAGCAAAGCTTGCCAAGCAAGCAGAGCATGATCACGATTTCAAAAGAGCATTTGTAACCCGCTGCAAAAACTCTTTCTGGCCTTTAGTGGCAGCTCTTTGCCAACCAATGAGAATGGTGCCGGTTACTATTCTGTTCTTATCTATGCGTTGAAACGGATCCAGTATGGATTTTAATTAACAGCATTATTATTTTTCTTTAAATTTGAAATACTGGCTATCCTTAAAAGTAAATCTATTTTTTTTAAAATTAAAAACAATAGTTTGAACTTTCTGGCACTAACAACTGCCTTCTAAAAATTAGTCCAAATAATTCAAGAACTATAGCTATTTTGAAATGGTTTTTAAAAACATCTGGATTTGGAATTTCACCCAGAAATGATAGCCAGAGAGAGAGGTAACTGCCTTTGCCTGTATCATTATGTCTGTAGTTGGCTGCCCAAGAGCTAGAGGAAGATAAATTATTCTGTACGTCACTGACAGGCTGACGCAAGCCATTCTGTTTTGAATTCGTGAAGTTATTCTCTGAAAATCCATTATTTGATCTAGTAAGTGATCATTTTTGTGGTTTATGCAAAAGTTTATACTCATCTCTGTAAATTCTCTTACTTTAACTATGAAAATGAACATACCTTGCTCACTCGCTCACACTGACTTGTCAGTTCACACCTCTCCCTGACTAATGGGTCTCCCTTCTTTGAGCATCACCTCAAGAAGACAGGGGGCCAGGGACACTGGGCTTTTTCAGTCAGCCACGTTCTGAAGGTGAGGACACCACAGAGAAGTGGGGTGAGGCCAGACAGAGTGGCAGGGAGCCAAGGAGGAGGCTGGGGAGGAGAGGTCAGAGCCACAACTGCTCGAGCAGTCTAAGCAGGAGGAAGAAGAGTAGAGGGCAGTGGGAGCCAGCTCCTTCTTGGAGAGAAACAGGAGCCGGAGAAACACCTGGGCCTCCCCTTTCCTCTCTTGGCAGCCTGGGGCGAGGTGTGGAGCAGGTGGCCACAGTGTCAGGTTCATCACTGTCACTAAACAGGGAAAATAATCTTTATATCTCCCGAAGGGCTGAGCCCAGGGTCTCATCCCTGACAGAAGCTCCATGAGCATTTGGTTCAGTTTCCTCAGGGAACCCTAACATGTCAGGGACTCCAGTTTGGAGAGAAAAAGGAGTAGGGGAGGGAATCCATACTTATGGAGAGCCTGTCACATTATTGACATACATTATCCCAATAATTTCTCACAAAAACCCTGCAAGGTTAGATCGTTACCACCATTTTGCAGATGAGGAAACTTGGAGACTCAGAGAGGATAGTCAGCTCAGCCAAAGTCACACCGCTGGTCTGTGGTCCTTAGCAACGGTACGTGAACCACCTATCTGGGTTTTGACCCAGGCTGCACTGACAATTCTCCTCGTTACCCTGGGCAAGTAAGTGCACTCCACAAACCTTTATTATTAATCACTTAACAGAAAAGCAGTGTGGGAAATAAAATTGTGTCCCTCCCAGTAGAAGGGACAGGGATAGACAAAAGGAACTGTGATAAAGGGAACACTGCGCAAAGGGCTGCAGAGTCACTTTGCTTTTCATCCAGGTCTCAGATTGCTTATCTGTAAAGCGAATGGGATGAACTAGTGCAGGGGTTGGCAGACTTTTACTGTAAAGGGCCAGGCAGTAAGTATTTTAGGTTTTGCAGGCCATATAGTTTCTATCACAACTACTTAGCTGTTGTAGCGTGACAGCAGCCACAGACAAGAAGTAAAAGAACAGGAATGCCCATGTGGTGTTTTACTAAGAGCGACATGTTCACAGGTGTTCTGCCTGAGCTTAAGACCAGCAGAGAATGATTCATTTTCTTATGGAATATTCACCCAACTGCTATCAGTGGAGTTTCTTGGCTGGAGGACCTTTCACTTTACTTTTTATTTTGCTCTGATAGGCTAGAACCAGGATAAAGATTTTTGGGGAATAATTCTAATCAGAATTCACTGAAGAGCATTTCCAGGAAAAAAAAAGATGTAGCATTGAACATAGACACAGGGTAACTATTTCAGTCTTTTGACACTGTCTGTAAAAAGAAAATCAGAGCTAAAAATATTTCAGACAACACTGTCAAACTGACAGGTGTTAGTCTGAGGATGCCTTTTATGAACACAATAAAGAAATGGTGAATGTTTGTACAGTTATCAATACAGTCTGACTTAACTCACTCTGAAACTTTATACCCAGTTTTGAAGCTGTCAGTGTATTTGTTCTGACCCCAAGTGATAGATGTCTGACCTGCCATGACCTTGCATAGTTGCAGGAAGACAAAGTTGAGGCTCTAGCCCGGCTGAAAAGCCTTGTTTGTATTTGAATGACGATGGGCCTTTCTTTATAGAGAGAGCTACAAGCTTAGCTAGAAAGGACCAGCCATCTGCGTGAGTTGCTGATTAGCAAGGGAGCCCTGCAGGGCACCAGCGGTGAAAGGGGATGCAAGGCGGGGAATGAGCCTGGTCCAGGCTCCTCTGGAAACCCCACACCCACATTCTGCCCCTAGGAATACTTCAGAATATACAACTCCAGGAAGAAGTCTGCTACTCTTTCTTAGATGCATTGCAGACTGCTTTCTTCCTGGCAGGGTTTTTTGTTTTTGTTTCTGAATTAAACCAGCCAACAGGAACTCCCACCAGATACACCTGGTACCTGCTCAGGAGCCAGTTCTCCTTTCTTGTCAGGGTTAACATTTACCCCAAGGGTTCCCATCAGTGGCCTGTACTGCCGGCCGGCTGCTGTGGAGACA